TCTTTTTATCTCCTCCTCCTCCTCCTCCTCCTCCTCCTCCTGGTCCTTTATATGAATTATAGTTACAGTGATCAGTCTTGTCAGAAGTTGGTTCTTTTTAATTTCTCTTTGGTTTTCCCAGGTAAGGCAGTGGTAGCTGTAAACTCTGTGGTGGTACCCAAGTACAATGCAAGCTCTGTTGTTCATTCATAGTTTGTCATTGGGATTCATTTGTCAATGAGATGGCGTTCTATCACAATCATGCACATTGTCTGATTAAATATGTTTACATGCACGTTGATATTGTACAGACTTCAACATACGTTAAGGACCACCTAGATAGACAGCGTTGATCTTTAAAATTCAGAAAAAAGACAGCAAGGAATGTTTTTTTGCTTTTTTTTTTTTTTGAAATGTTAATGGGTTACCAATGCGTTCTGCCAAGCTTCCTTAAGGGGCAAAACCACCACGTGAAGCACGAAAATCCTCGGGGAATTTTAGCGAAATATGCTGTTTTTTATCGACTTGTGTGCAACACCACGGACATTCCTCAGTTTAAATTTCTGGTCCACGTCATAAACGGACGTACGGACTCGAACTGTTCTCTCTTTGGTGGCAACGTAAGCCGCTGTTTGCGCAAAATTCTGTATCGCATCAACATGCCACCGAGACGAAAGCTGAGAGACTGATCGTGCCAGAGCTATGGCATGGCTACAGGATGGAGTTAGAGCCCGAGAAGTTGCCAGAAGGCTTGTAGTGTCACACTCTGTCATTGTCCGCTTGAGGCAGTCCCATCAAGTCACTGGATCAGTCCAAGAACGCCCATGTGCAGGTAGACCCAAGGAGACCACGAGTGTTTGCAAGTGGCCCTTTAACTTATGTTAAAATCTGTATTTCTGACAGCCTATCCAATCAAACCTTTATTTCCGTCCAGTGTATTCCTTCGTTTCAAAAATCTTTTCAAGAGCTGGGCAAACTCCGGGTTGCTGTTACTGGGGAAACAAGAAGACGATTCACGTAATGGTGCTTTCCCTTTCATTTCGAATTGTTCTATTTTTTTGTTGTTGTTGTTAAAGGAAACACATTGACGTCATGACTCTTCAATAAAATAGCCAGTGATTGGTGGCTCCAGTTCCTTATTTTTTAAAATTCTTCTCCAACTTCAATGACGCTTTTACCAGCTTCTAGCCAATGGTGGGTGGTTGGAGAATGTCACTAATGGGTCTTACGTCCTTGCTTTTCCTCGGTTTATCTCTTCTACGTTTTGTCTGTCTTGCTTTTTTCCTGACACAATAAGTGACAATTATTGATTAAATGTCTTTCCTTTTCTACAACGAACGAACCATGCCAAATGAGGCCATTAGTATGCCAACTCATTGGGAAAGAATTTCAGCTCATTGCATTATGTATAATATATATGCATTCCTGATTTATCTATTTGTTAGTTTTAATAGAGGTTTTACGGCGCTCACAACTGCATAAGGTCATATGAATGCCAGAAGATTAATTAAAGGTGCTACAAGAGAGTTATGAGAGTAACAAACATAAAAAAGAAGAAGGGGAGAGATAAGGACGATTGATGTTTGATAGGAAAGAAGAAGCAAACCACAACAGAGTACCCGCCAACCACCCACGCATTCCTGACTGATTGATACGTGCTGTAATAGTATCCTGACGCATAACAATCAACATATCAGCTGTTGTCAAATTCCAGATATTTTTTAATTGGAAATAACACTTCTCAGACCCTCTCCCTGACCCAGTGGCTTAAACTTAATCGCTCAACATGTCTACACGTCTCTGTCTCAGCAAACTTCTTTATCCTTATCCTATTTATTGCTGCTTCCACTCATTGTTTGACATAAAATGTACATGTAATACGTTTTTGGTAAATATAATATATATAAATATTTGTCATGATCCAAAAGGACTTAAGACAATGAGAAGATTCTGTTGTATATCAGAGATGTCCGCTGAAAGTACGATTGAATTTTTTTTCCCGCGCTCGAAAGCAGAGTTTGAATAAGTACGCTTAAACAGCATTTCATGTAGTAGTAGCTAAACATAATCCTGTTTGTCAGCATCAGGGGGATGAAGGTGGAAGTAATGAAGGTTAACTTTGGGGGAAGTGCTAGTGAACCAGGCATTCCCTCCTTCCTCTCACCCATTGTCAAAGTAACCTTTCTATATCTAGACTTGTATTTATAAGGGAGGTCCTTGGTGGTGTTCTTGAACGGCAAATGTTGAGCTTAGATGAAAACCAAGTGTTACATAACTTACACTGGAGCAACCAGCATTAATATAAACATGTAGTATTACAATTGAATTGATTGAAGTTTGAGTTGTACTCTGTCGCATTGCATGCTGTGGGTCTTTGTTAACCAAAATTTTGCAAAGACAGATAAAAGTAGACGTCTTCTGCAATCTTCTTAGAAAGATAAACAATAAACAAAACAAAAAACAAAACAAATAAATTCAATGAAAGTTGAAAGCTAAAAACAATATTTTGTACATGCTTTTCATTTTATTTACTTGTTTTACTGAAGGCATGTGGAACAAAATGTTGAAACAATAATTATACACACACTGGACATGACCCATCAGTGAGTGAACTTCCATTTATCATGACCTGCATATTGCCACTGTCACAAGTAAAAATGAGGGACACTGTCTTGGTGAAAAGTGTGTGGGAAGAACATTGGAGTTTCTTATTTTTACCAGCAACAGCGACAATACATATTTAAGATATAATATATATAATATATTAATATATTATTAATATAGTAAAACCACAAATTCAGGACCACCTATATGTCCAAATGACAAACATTCTCTACAGCAGCAGTCCTTTTATGCATATTGTATTGCTTCTTTTTTTAAAGTATGGACTCCAGAGAGCAACTATATTGTATATGTGACGTTTACCGGTTCTATAGGACTCGCTTTTTCTGACATGAAAGTAAAACCATTTATGAAATCCAAGAATCTCAACTATGAACACAAAGTCGTAAGGCAAAACTAACTCTTTGAGACAGCTCCAGCTTGCAGCCTCCACTACTGTGAAAACCACACCAACCATGTCTGATCACCAGGTTTGATTTTTTTTTTTTTTTTTAAAGACACCCCAAAAGGTTGTGTCCTTGGAATACAAATTAATAGTTAATGGGTGATCAGTATATATTGTGGAATCCACGTGAACCAATCTTTGGTTTAGGCAAGTTTTCATATTAGAGAGGTTGCTTAAATAGAAGAGAAAAAATCAAGGATTTTATTTTCTTTTGGTTTACCGCTGTTTTCGGATTAACCGTGCTCAGTTTAAGCGGACTCCAGGGTACAGAAAGATGCAGTGGCAAATCAGTTTGCTGATAAAGACCTAGGTTCATAGCTTGAGTTTCTTACTGTCTTAAATTTTCAGCCGGTAATGCAAAGCATGTCAGTGCTGTCACAACAAAATGGAGCAACTCCATTTGACCCTAGTCACTAGGAAAGTTTTCACAAGTTGGGAGTGGAGAGACAGTGACGATATATATACGTGTGTGTATATATATATATATTGTGTGTGTGACCTTCCCATACAACAGCACATCATAAGCCAGAATCTCTTTTAAAATGCAGCTGAAGCGGTTAAAACTTACTTCTGAAACTTGGGTAAGTTTAAAAATCGCTGCAGCTGCTACCAACATGCATACAGAATCCAGACACTCAATTTAATAACCTCCCCTACATTTTGGTAGGGTTCATAACATCTAATTAACATTGAAAAATAAATAGTTCATTTTTATTTTACAAGTTTCTTGAAAGACTAAGGCATTCTGTATTTCGCAAAACAGTATGTCTGCTTACTCATACAGCAGTCCTAACAACAAATTTCTAGACAACACAACTTCTATGTTAATTCTCTTTTAAAAAATGAGCCTCTCAGCCATTCCAAAAGGGATAAAAATGATTAAATAATAAAACATGAAAGGCCATTCTTTACCATTCTAAACTTACACTTACTATCTCTTAAATGGACTCTGCAGTACAATACTTGTAAGCAGGAGCTAGAAAGTCAAATTTGACACAGCTAACACTGAGGTGATATACAGAATTCTTGTTAACTTCAAACGATAATGGCTGAAGTCCGACTCTGGCCGGTATCAAACTTCCCTACGGTGGCATTCCTATTACAACGGCCTATAATCACATCACAAAACGACATAATACTAACAAACTTCCAAGCTTCAAGCTATATAAAGAGTAATCACGGTCGGAGTCTGTCAAAGACAAAATAAGACATTCTCTGTTTTTCACAGTTCACTCAAAGCTATAACAAATGACTCAAGGAATTACT